ATGTCATTATATTTAGATACTAGATATTATAATTTATTATATTTTAAGATTTATCTATATTTTTTTTATCTTCTATTATTCTAGAATTCTTCTATTCAGATTTTCGCTGAAAATGGAAGTAGATTTTACCAAGGCTATACAGATGCTTTTATTAAAGAAAGAACAAGAATATGGCCAATTGAAATTTATTTCCTCTCAAGCTACAGAAGAAACTTCATGTTTCATCGAAGAATTGTTAGAAACTATTAAAGAAATGTTTAAAGAACGCCAATTCTATGACATCAAGTTATTTGCTGAAGAATACAGTTCCCAAGAATGCAGCGTTTCATCAGAAATCATTCAATGTTACAAGTATTTTCTATTAAATACTGATTTTTCGTCGCAACAGTTTGTCATAGAAGACACGTCGGTAGGTCATTTAGTTTATTACTGGCCTGCTCTATCACCGTACCTTTTTATACAGGTAATTTTTTTGTATTAATAATGAAAATGATAATAATGATTTGCTAATTTTACTATTGATATAGTAGAACATTGAATACTATTGGATGTACTAGTTTTATTTTCTTCTTTTATAATTATAATTAGAATTAATTTCATTTGTATATATTTTTTATGTATAATTATGACAAATTATAATGTGTATAGGAGAGAAAGATGGATGTAATTTCAATGTTAAATAGTTTACATACATACACATACACGCGTGCGTGCGCGTACATACATATATATATACACAGGACAGAAGGGCTTTTCCATGAGCTAATGATAATATAATCATATAATGAAAGTAATGTTCATGTTTTTAAATAATATGTATTCAATATTTGAAAATCATGCTAATATTTTTAAAAAGCAGTCATATTTGTGTAACATAATTATAAGCACATCACTGCAAAGATACATGTTATTTTTCTACAAATTTTCATATCATTTTAAAATTGAAACTGAATAATCTTACTAGGGTAACAAGATCTTGTATATATAATAATGTTAAATAAAATTATGTATTTTGCATATTTTATTTCTAATATATTAATCTTTTTATTAGCATTAGATTTGTAAAATATTTTTTTTTCTATAATTAAAGTGTATGCACCAATTTTGGCTAAACCAGTCAATTTTATATTAAAAACAAATAAGAATTGAAAAACTCAGATTCTCTTTATCTATTCTTAAATTTATATGTTAACTTATAATAAAGAGCTTTATATAAAAATTCTAATCTCTACTACAAAATAGAGATATAGTATGTATATAGTAAAGAAATTCTTAAAATTCGGCATAAATACTTAACATATAAAAGATTAGTATGTATTAATGAGAAAATTTGTACATATATGTGTACAAGCGTGATTAATGTATGTATGTATGTATGCATGTATGTATGCTTTACTGTCACATTTCGCTTATTATATTAGGATCTCCTTCGAGATTATATATCTCTCCTCATTATTTAATATATATTATTTATATATTTATATCGCTTGCATAGCATAAATAATATGTAATATATTCACAGATTATATGGCGCTTGAAATGGGAAGAATTATTAATTGAATCACTCCTATATATACCGTTGGACTTATGTATTGAAATTCTGGATATAGCAATCAGATGTATAAGCGATCTTGAAGTTCAACAAGCCAGACACATTATTTTCCTTTTGCTCTCCAAACTATATTACAAATGTTTGTATCTACATGTAGGTACATTATCGAGAGATAACATGGAAGAACTTGCTTTTCAATTAGTGGCACATTTTCAAGCATTGTTAGATTTACTCAGCTCCAAATTTCATCCTTTTAAATCGTGTGTTAGACATGAAAAGTACATGCAACATGGCATTTTCATAAAACAAATATTTCGGCATATAAAGAGATGCATGCACAACAAGACCAAGAATTACTTAACAAACCATCGTTTAGAAATGCAGTTTAAAATCACATATGGTAATTCTCATTCTATAGATTATTTTCAATACCTTTCTGTTGATAAAGTACAGTCTATCGTAGCAAGATTGGATCAGGAATTGATTACCTTGCTTCTAAATGAGATTAAACGAATTGATTGTTTTGAGTTCATGGATTGGGCAGAAGTCGATGATGAAGAAAATCTTATGATATCACTACAGCGTGCCATCATTATCGAGGGTCATTACTTTATGGAGTTTATGAAGCAAGATGATTTTTTAGTAACTAACAAAGATTTATTTCAATGCCTACAACAACTTGTAGGTTCGACAAACTTTGAGGAGTCCACATTAACACTTCAAGAAATCTGTCATAACATTGCCAACGGCAAACTTGATGATATATGGAAATTGATGAAACGTTACAAAGAATGGGATGACTCTGTATTAAACTTTCTCCATGAAAAAATAAAATTGTTGGAGAAGAAACATCTTTTAGTTCTACTCGAATATCTTCATCATAGATTTGCACATTGCAACGATAAAAATAAGCAACTTTATCTATTAATATTGACAATATTAATACAGCAACCAAAGATAGAGGATATGTATTATGCTATAATGTATTATGTGGTGCGACATTTTGAAGACAATCCTTTAATGTCTCTGTTCAGTCATGATCTCTTCATGGATTTTATAAAAAGCGATATAGACATGCGTGATTATAAAAAATTACGTATCATTCTTATTTTTGTTATGTTGAATCCACAGACAGTATTAACCACTCTGGTAACAGTTGCACTAGGTAGTACCAAACCAGAGTTCCAAAATGTTATGTTCAAAAGGCCTCATGTATATTTTCTACATGCTATTTTTTGTCAGAAGTTGAAGAATCAACACACTATCTTGACATATATTCTGAAGAATTTTTGTTTGCATGATAACGATACATGGGGTTACAAGCAGTTTGAAGCCTTTATGGATGACATATTATATTTTGAGGTAATATATAATATTATTCATAAAAAACGAGCATTATAAAAATAAATTCTATCAAATATATCTTTGATCAATATCTTCTATCAAATTTATTGTTTAGATAAAATTCTATTTGCGTGTTCTATGTATGCATTAAAATATTTAAATTTATAATAATTTTTTTATCTATGTCAAGATGATTTATTTTAAATTACTTTTAAAAAATTAATCAGATAAACACTTTACATTCTTAGAAAAGTATGATATAAGACATAATAATTCTCCTTTATTGCGTAGTGAAATTTGCTATCTGCATCATTTTTCTTCTAAAATTGCGATATTTAAAGTATTTTATTAATTTTTTTTATTTATAATTAATCTCTTTATACATATAATTAATATTTGTAGAGCACAAGATTGTATTCTAATTTGTTGTTAGCATTACAACATATACAAAAACATATATAATATATTAAAAAGTATTAGTAATGTTTATTTTTATTTTTTATTGCTCCTCATTTTTTATTTTATAGGAAACGTATTTTTATTTTTCTGTTTCTCTTCTACAGACAATATCTCCGGACAATCTATTAAACAACGTCTATATCCCATATCTGGCCAATAGTAATAATTTTTATGCTACAAACTTAATCTGTATACTGACGCATATACACTCGATCTTGAAAAAAGGAATCTGCACACAGAAAACTGATTATGCTCTTCTTATCATAAACTTAACTAAGAAAATGTCATATGTACGGGTTTGTCATCCGCTGAAATTAAAGAGCATTGTAAATAATGTGTTGGCTCATGGAATGATGATATTGAATGATTTATTAGCCATGCCGAATCTATTATCGCCAGATAAAAAATATGAGATATTCAATATGATTCGTATTGTGGAACCGATCGATCGAGTACGACTGGCACCTTTATCACTGATGTTCAATTATGGCAATGTAGTAGATGTGATTCAGAACTATGAAAAACGTTGCTTCAGCATGTATAAAGAATTGCGTATGAATTCGCAATACAGTGACAAAATACGCGATTACGTACATTCTTTTCAAATTGATCAGGATGCTTTAATACGTCATATGTTGCTGCATGCCACCGAGGAGGAGTACAAAAACTTTGCTATTGAGATGACAACAGCATTTTGGTCCTATTTTGGCTGGGATAACGAACTGGTGGCTTATGACAATGTATTAACCATCACCGCTGAAGCAATGCAACTCGCCTTAAAATTCACAGAAGTCTTTTCCAAAGATACATTTGTTTCATTATTGCGTGCTATGGTACACTATTGCAATATGTTGACACGTATCGAATCTATGTATATAAATGAGCCATTCATCCGTCTTAATCTTTTAAAGATTCTATATTCTCTGAACGATATAATTATCGAGACGCAACATGATAAAGTAGTTTATAACTATTTACTTACGTATATGTACAATATAATCTACACAGATTCTGAAATTATTTTTGCAAATTCAACGAATTGATTGAGATGTATCTCGTTCGACATGATGAATCGACACCTTTGGAATTCGAAAGTAAGTAAATAAGTTAATTCTAATATTTTCTTTTCCTTAGATTTTTAATTAATAATTTTTCTAATTTCTTGTATATATAGATATATTCATTATTCTTAATTTTAAAAT